CTGCAGGGCCCGGCCTTTAAGGTGAGCAAAGAGATCCCAGGTCCATTTTGGCCACCATGTCATCTAAATGTGTTCTGAGTGACCTTATTATGAACAGTGGAGCTGTTTCTGGATTTCTCTGGGAGTATGACATACCCAAAGTAGAAATGAATCTTTCTGCACTGTGTTGCATTGGATGCACAAACCACTATAGATTAATAATAATAATAATAATAATGTCTCTACCCTTTGAAACCAACTGGATAAACTGGGGCAAATGCAGGAGAGGAATGCCTGGGAGGTGGTGCTAAGACAGAAGGAGGACGTTTCTCAGGTTGGAGATGTAAAGGCCAAAAGGCGACTTCATAACTACGTTCAAGATTATGTAATAAGTTATTTAGAACACAGCTCATGCTTCATAAGGGGACAGAACAAGGGGTTTAAATTATAGTTCTATTCTATAAAAATAATTAATTGAAAACAAGACAGATGAAGTAGAGTCCAGCATCTGCAGCTGACCACGCACTGGCAAACCCTGGGTCTCTGGATTACAAGGTCTCCACTGGGCATTTCTGCTCAGGGGCCACAAGACACCCTCACCACAGACAGAACATCCCCAAACCAAGAATCAGCCTCTTGAAGCCTGCCTTGTTAACACAAATATAAAGAGGCACCAGAACAGCATGTACTTATCACAAACTCCTCGAATGCATGGGTGGAATGTCACTTACATAATCTGGCAGGTTGCAGTTGTGCTGTATGATCCAAAACTCGGTTTTCTTAAACCAGTAGAAACCTCTAAGGTCTTTTTTTAAAAATGCATCTTTCCATTTGATAGCGGAGACAATGCTCCCAGCATGAGTAATGCCCATCAGTTATCAGTAATTTAGCAGATCGTGCCAGTGTTGACATTTGTTCTTGGCTTAATTGTGCGTGAGTGTGTGTTTTAAACAATGATGCAGCTGTCCCCATTTCTGGCAATTAGGATATAAAAATGGTGTTTGCTGAATCTGGCAGCGTGATCAGTTATCCATGTGTTTCCTCTTTTGTTTGCAAGGCCTTCTGAGTGTTTGCCGCAATTCTACAATCGGAATATCAATTCGGCTTAAAATGGAATCGAGATGCATATTAATAGCAACGACAGGGTCTGCAGACCTCCATGTTTCAAGATCTTCCACCTCTGACTCCACCACAGATGCTTGCGTTCGTGTGTATGTTAAAGACACTTTAACGTGCTGTGAAGGCAGTCAGACTTAAAACACCATTAGGATTAAAGAAGCAGTGTCAGCAGAGGCGCACTGGACTAGGGCTGATCATTTGCAGAGCATCAGGTGATCGAGTACATCCCACCTAGAATCCTGCCACAGAGCTCTCACTGTGGCTCACGTCAGCCTCAGTCTGCCTCACTGCTAATTCATGCGGTGACCTGGCCATCGAGGAGAGTCAGTGGCCAGGGTGTAAAGCTTTACTTTCCCTCAACTATTTTGGCTCTTGGCTCAGCGGGATTTTTGCTTAGATTAGCCAGTTAATGTTAATGTCAGCTAGGGTGGGGACCAATGCCTTATTAGGTCATGGCAAGTCTGAATAAAATACCTATGAAAAAATAACTGTTTGGCAGTAGTTGCTAAAGCTGAATATAGGTACACTCTATGACCCAGTAATTCCACCTCTGAATACCGATACTGGCGGAGATGCATGCACGTATTCACAAAAGACAAGCACTGGAAGGTTCACAGCGGCAACTGCCCAGATGTCCATCAACAGTAGGATGGATAACTAAGTTGTGCTACAGTCCAACAATGGCATACTATACAGCCTGGAACAAACTACAACCACATCCATAAAGCATCCACTCTCTAAACTACAACACGCAAGGGATTGGTTTTCTATCACTGTGAAATAAATTAGCACCAACTGAGCACAAAACAACACACACTTACCAGCTCACAGCTGTGTAGGTCTTAAATCTGGGCACGGGATAGCTGGGTTCTCTCCCGAGGGCCTCACAGGCTAAAGTGACGATGTAGGCGGCCGGAGCTCAGGATCCTTTCCAAGTCCATTCCGGTTGTTGGCAGAATTCAGGGTCTTCTGTGTGATTGGAGGACTGAGGTCCCCCGTTTCCTTGCTACCCGTGTGCCAGGAGCCAATCTCCGCTCCTGGAAGCCGTCCACACCTCTTGCCACGTGGACCCCTCTGTCTTCAAAGCTAACGATGAAGAACTTCCCTGGTGTCAGTCCCTCTCATACTTCAAATCACTTTTGCCAGGAAGCGCCCAGTTCCTTCTAAGGGCTCATGCGATCAGGCCCACTAAGAACAGTCTCCCTCTCTTAAAACCAACTGATTGGGGTCTTGAGTCTACCTGCAAATCCTTTTACGGCAGCACCTGCACCAATGTGTGACTGAATAACTGGGAGAAGGTGTGTGTACCAGTGAGGATGAGGAATCTTGGGAGCCATCTCAGAATTCTGCCCACCACGCCCAATGACACACATGAATCTCACAACCAACGGTGAGCGAAAGAAGTCAGACATGAAAGAATACATAATGTGTGATTCCATTTGTATAAAATACAAGATCGGGAAGCACCGATCTTTGGTGTTAGAGGTGAGAATAGTAATTACTCTTGAGAACACAGTATGGAAAGGAGAGGGGTTTTGGGGGCTGATAATGTTTCTGTTTCTTGATCTGTGCGCCGGTTACACGGATGTGTTTGGCTTGTGAAAACTCAGCAAGCTGTATATTTTTAGAATAATTTGGATTTAGTAATTTATAATAGATTAGTTCTATTTTTCCAAGGAAGTATGCATCCAAAGACAGCTATCAGGGTGGGTACCTGATGGAGGTGGAGAATAAGAAAGGAGACAAGAGAGCAACTTGCCTGAAGTGATGAAGATGGTACCTCGTGGACTTGGCAGGTAAGGGCCAACTGGGTGAAAGGTTACTATCTGTCAGCTTGGACCTGTGTGCAGGAGCCGATACACAATTTGTGTAACCCAGTGCAAAGCGAAGTACAGGGCCTCCTTGTTCAAAAATTATTCACAGTCAGAAGACAGCAAGAGTGGAAGATTAAGCCAAAGGTGGGGCCCGGGGGCAGGCACTGGTCCCACTCCCAGGAAGCCGGCCCTGCCTGTACGTATGGGAGAAACAGCCACATCTCTGATTCCAAAGACTTCTTGCTAAGCGAGTTACTTTGGGTAACTAGAGATTTGAGCCTTTGGATTGTAAAATGGGTTAGCCAGAGGCCAGGAGGCTCTTATTCATTCATACATGAAAGAGCAAGCACTTCCCATGTGTAAGACACCAAAAAAATATGGGTATTATTATCATAATGTGCCACCTAAATGTTTATGTGCTATTTCTGTACTTGGTTAAAAAGCCTACCTGCGACCTCGTGGATAATATTTATTTCATACATCAACTATAGATAGCACAGGTCCCCTTCCACCATGTGCATTAACACAACTATTCCAGGCTATTGGTGGACCCCTAATGATGAGATGTAACCGTGCCTTCTTTGGTCATTCCAGTTCAAAGAGCAAAACGTCAAGGCCAGGGTATTGGGGTCTGGGCGCTTCCCCAATAAAGTTCTTTTTCTTGCTGCGATTCGAGTTTCTGTTAAGTTCTGAGTTGAATCCCTGACCTGACTCATGAACCTCCTTGAGCGGCTGGAGCGCCCTGGGAAGGGGCGCCCTAGAATCATCCAGTGATGGCTCAGTGGGGATCGCCGCCGGCGCGTGACTCCCAAGCGTCCTGAGACTCGGCGGTGTGAGGACGACAGGGCCGTCGCTTGGCTCGCGGGGCGGGGGTTGGGGGGTGTGGGAGGAAAGGGGGAGCACATTTAGGGGTTGGGATTTCTGAAGAGGCCCGACCTTGGCGTTGCATTTCTGTGTTTATATTCCCTGGTGTGCACTCTTGAAGCACAAGCCTTTCTAGACTTAGCGACTTACTAAAGCTTTGGGGGTCCGCGGTACCCGAAGGCGGCCAGCTGCCTGACCGAAGATTTACGAGTGATTCCAAGGATGAGACAAGGTCCCAGTGTCTCAGTGACAACAAGGGCTTTGACGAACAGCCGCGAGCTGCAGTTGGGGAGGGGGAGGAGGCCCGTGGCGGAGGGAGAGAGCACCTCCCTGCCGTGTTGGGCCCCCGGGGCGCGGACGGGCAGCCCCGCAGGCCATCAGCATGCAGGAGTGGCGCGCGTCGTCCTTGAAGAGCTGCCCGGCTGACCTTGCTCCGCTTTCTCCGGAGAAACCTCCCGGAGACGCGAGGACGCGGCCACGGCGGTGACTCAGTGCCCTGCGCTCCGCATGCAAATACTCCCCTCCAGCAAGCCCAGCTCCGCAGCCGCGATTTCCCTTTCCTGCCTCCTTTTTTAATTCCACGATTCAAACCCGGCGTTTTCCACTCCACCCCTCCCCCTCTCCATCGCCCTCCTGTCATTAGCCAGACTGTCCTGGTGTTTTGTCCCCCACCTCCCATCTGCAGAACTGAAAGCCAACCTTCGCGCTCCCTCGCTGCGGGCCCGGCCCTCGGACGAGGCCCGCTCGGGCAGGGCACCTCCCCGCCGACCGCGAGCCGAAGCCCGACCGGAGGGGGCGGTGCGCGGCGCTCTCGGGCGCACGGGCGGACGGCGCGGGGGCCCCGCTCCCCATTGGCCGCCTCCTCGGCGGGAGGGGCCGCCTGGCTCTCGGGGCACCTGGCGTCGCCCCTCCGCAGGGAAATCGGCGGATGCCGGGCACAGGCGCCCGGAGGTAAAGGCGTCCGGAGGATAGGCCCGGGGCCGCGGCCGAGTTCCTTGCGGCCGGCCCTGCTCTGCCCGCCGGCGCGGCGACGCTCGGATGCCCGCTGCGCCCGCCGCGCCAGCCACAAACTTTGCCCGGCGAAGTCCCCCGCCCGCCTGACCGCGCGGAGAGGCGCCTGGTTGGCTGCGCGCCCCCAGGGGCCCCGGAGCCCCCCGCGTCATTGCGGGGGCCCCCAGGCGTCCGGCGCCCGCCGCGCCCCGCAGTGCGCGAGCGGCCGCCAGGATGCGCTACGCAGACCCCTCGGCAAACCGCGATTTGTTGGGGAACCGAACTTTGCTTTTCATCTTCATCTGCGCATTCGCCTTGGTGACCTTGCTGCAACAGATCCTGTATGGAAGAAACTACATCAAGAGGTAAGAAAGTCCGAGCGCCGCTGAGGGTGCGCGGAGCCCGCGGGCGAGCCCCCGGGAGGCGGCCGCAGCATCGGCCCGTGCGTCTCTGGGGTGAGTGACGGGGGGCTGTGCGCGTCGCTCCGAGCACCACCGTATTAGGTTTGGGTCACGGCGCTCGGAAGCGCATCTATCCCTCCTCCCAGCCGGAGGAGAGCGCCTGCCCAGCGCGGGCCAGAGGGGCCCGACAACTTTGCTCTGCTGTGAAAAATGGGAGACAGGTTGGAATTCCGAGCGGCCAAGCTGACCATAAATCCACTTGAATGCCCCGAGCGGCCTCAGGGGGCAGATCGGTGACCCCAAATCTACAGTGCCATGGCCATTTGGTTGGCGGGGAGGCTCCCGGGGGTGGAGGGCTCAAAGCCGAATAGTATTCCCTTGTGACCCCTGAACTTTTGTGGGGTCCCTTGGGGGAAAAAGCATATATTTTTTTTTCCCCAGGAGCGTCGGGTTAGGTGGTAGAGATAGTGGGCTAGGATGATGCGACAGGGGTAGTGAATTCTTATAAACCAGTAACCACTGGATCTGTGAAAATCACAGCCTGACCCCTTCTGAAGCATGGTTCTTTCTCATCCTTGCTCAGGTCAGAGCCGCTGCAAAAGTTAAGCCTCCCCTCATTGCGCTCTCCCCGCGCCCTAAACACGGTCTAACTCCATTAAGAGAAAGAGCAGTAGGAGGTGTCGCTCAGAAACTCAGGCACATCCTCAGCCCCTGTGTGTGCGGAAAATAAACCGAAATGCCATCCGTTTCCTTTTGCCCGCTCCGCTGGCTGAGGAGAAACGTTTTGGGTTCCTCGGCCTGGTTTCAGGGCGTGGGGAGAGCTGTGCCCTAAGAGACTCCCATATCGGAGCCTCTTTTGGAAAGAGCCCCCTCTCCGTGCTGCCGGAGGTTTTTTCTTTGCTGCCATTGTCTCTCTGCGCTCGCCCCTCCCCCCAGGCTGATGGAACACCAAATGCCACTCGGTCGGTATAAACATCCCATCCTCTTCTCTAAACTTCCCAATGATAAAACAGTTGCTTTCTTTTCGTCCTTTGGGTTACATGTCAGTCCCTTGTGCCCCGAGTCTGGGCTGCACACGGGGTGGGAGGGTGAGGGTGGCTGCTGGGACTTGCGCTTGTAGGAAGAAAGCCAAGCAGTTAGGCTATTTCCCCTCCCTGTCCGAGAGCTGGGGAGTGTAAGGCCCCTTGTCTGGGACATTGGTTTCCAGCCAGCATCTGCTCCTGACCTTCCCAGACAGCGTTCTTCCCTGGTTGAAGGCAGCTGGTGAGCTCTGCATTGTGCTAGTGGCTTTAAAGGACATTTTCAGGGAGTCGCCTGGCTTGCTGGGACTCACTGGGCCTGCCTCTCCTTTTGGTTACTGTGGCCCCCCAAGAGGATCCTGTGCAGGACAGCTGGGCCCCAGACGGGCCTGCTGCAGCCCAGCCGGCCTCCGCCTGCTGCACTTGCTTCTCAGCAGGGTGGCTCTGGGTTCCTGCCCCCTGCTGGCACCAACCCAGAGCTGCTGGGGCTGCAGGTTCCCTGCGACCTTGTCAACAGTGGGAGAGTATCAGTGCCCATGGCAAATGCCAGCTCCACTGCTACCTGCTTGTTCTGGCAGGCCCTCCCTGGCTAGCTGGCTGGAGTTCAGCAGGCGTACCAGTTGCTTCCCATCCTCCCCCAGACAGACACCCTGACCCCCTAAGGTGCCACCTCACAGGCCTCTCTCCAGAGACTCAGTTAATCCAATCGAGCAAGCAAAACTTGTATATACCTGATCCTAGAAGGGCGCCGTGGGGTCTGTAAAGAAGATGATATGGTCCAGGTGTTCACAGGGCTTGAAGTCTGTTTGGGGAAACAAAATGGCCACCAATGAGATAGTTAGGAAGGAAGTGTTTAAATGACTGAGGAGGGAGGCACCACTGGACTGGAGTAGTCAGGGAAGACTGCCTGGAGGAGGTGGAACCTGGAAGTGGCCCTAGAAGTGAGTGGGCCACGGAAGGCAGGCTAAGATTTGGAGAGGTGGAGAAGGTGGAGGAGAAGTGCGCATGCAGAACTGAAGAGGGCAGGAGTGAGGGGAGATGGGGGGTGCCGGCCCCGTGGCCCAGTGGTTAAGTTCGCGCGCTTCGCTGCGGCGGCCCGGGGTTTCGCTGGTTTGGATTCTGGGTGCAGACATGGCACTGCTTGTCAGACCACGCGGAGGAGGTGTCCCATGTGCCACAACTAGAAGGACCCACAACTAAAATATACAGCTATGTGTTGGGGAGATTTGGGGAGAAAAAGCAGAAAGAAAAAAATAAATTAAAAAAAAAAAAAAAGAGGGCAGGAGTGGAGGTGCAGAGATGTGGCCCCGCCTGCTCTCACCTCTCCCATGTCTGACCCTACCCAGCCGCAGCACTTGGCTTAACCATTGGTTGGTTCTTCCTGGAGCCTGCCCTGACCTTGAACCAGGTTGCGGCTGCCACGTTGGTGCACCCATAGTGGCTGTTCACCTAACTTGTTTCCTCAACATATCATAATTGTAATGAACTGACTTGATGTGGTTATTGATCTGTCTCCTGTCTAGAAACACCCAACACTTGAGTGTTCCTCAAGCAGAGGTCTTGGGGCAGCCTGCGTCAGAATCACCTACATGGCCATTAAAATGCAGATTCCTAGGCCCCCTCTGGGGGAGGGATCCAGTAACCTGTCTTTTTAACAAGCTCCCCAGGTGATTTGTAACAAGCTCCCTCGAGGGCAAAGTTGCCCCACAGGTAGTGTCCGGAGACATTTTTGGTTGTCACATTTGGGAGAGGAGAGTACTCTGGCATCTAGTGGGAAGAGGCCAGGGATGCTGCTAAAGATCCTGCGATGCATAGTTGCCTTCCCCAACAAAGAGTGATGCAGCCCACAGTGTCAGTAGTGCTGACCAAGAGAAGACCTGCTCTATCCCGAAAGCTCCATCAGGTAGGATTCACTCTCTTTTGTTCCCAGATGCACCCTGAGCACCAAATGTGGTGCCTGGTACATACTAAGTTCTCCATAAATATTGGATAATGAAGAAAAGATTGAAGGTGGTTGCGTGTGTGTGTGTGTGTGTGTGTGTGTGTGTGCACGTGTGCATGCTCGCAGGGATAATAATTGGAAGAGACACTGAGGAAATGGATCCAACTGGTGTAAGGGGGAATACGGGGAAGAAGGGGGACAGATGTAATGCTGGGTCAGTGGCTGCAGTGGAGTGCTTTGTGGATTGTGGCTTGGGAAGGACAGTTTGAACTTGGTTCATTAGGCGATAGGGAGCCACATGTGGTCCTTGAGCGGAGTAGTGACATAAGAAAAGCCACTAGGAAGGAAGGTTGTCTGGGCCTTGTAAGGGAAGGTTAGGGACGGGGAGGGGCTGAGGGGCTATTGTCACAGCCTGGTGAAAAGTGAGGAGAAGCTGGGCAGGGGGCAGATGCACTGCAGAGCTTGGGGCTGCCGTTCTCTGCTTCTGTGCTGAGCTGAGTTGATGTTCTCAGCAAAGCCTTCATTGTTTACCACCAGATGAAGAGCTCGGGGGCACAAAGATGGCAAGCTATTCCAGTGAGAATTAGGGACAGATGGCACCAGAAGGAAGTGGGGGATGTGAGTCAATGTGCATTCTTTCTTTGGGCCCCTGACCTCTCCCTGTGCTGTACAGTGGGCACTTCCGGAAGGCCCATCAGAACTCCGGGGATCTGTCTTGCAAACACCTGTGTTGGTTAGTGTCTCTGCTGGAGATAGTACACACTATGTGGATTAGGAGGAAAAGCAAGAAACAAAGCTGTGAAATTTGCTCTTGATGTTTCTTGGCTCCCTTGTCTGTTCTTGATTGAATAGATACTTAATGAAGATTTACTATACGCTGAACACCGTACTAAGTGCTGAGGACAATGGTGTGCAAGGTGCACACAGTCCATGGTCCCTGGGCCCATGCTTGCAGTCTGTTGGGAAGACAGAAGGGCATGCAACACATACGTAAGCCCCACTGCACATGTGGAAGAGGGACTCTAAGGATGAGGAGGCAGTCATAGTGAACCAGGATGTCTCCAAGGTGCATGGAGGCATTTGAAGGGTGTCTTAAGGGAAGGGGAGTGACCCATAGGCATGGGGAGGTGGAAGGAAGGGGGATGAAACAGCCTGAACAAGAACTGAAAAGTGCAGGGGACAGTTGTGTAATTCTGCATAAGCTGTGTATTACAGCTATACAGCTGGGAGCGGGGGGGAGGCGGGCAGGGCCAGGTTATGGAGAACTAAGTAGGAAACAAACAAGAAGGAGCATGTCTGGAGGAAAGAGGGTAACAAGTTTGAGTCTAGATCTGCTCAGACGCTGCAAGGCAGTCCTCTTGGAGCTATCCAGAAGCTCATTGGAAAGGAGCTCCGGAACTGTGGGTGGAGAAGAATCAGGCGAGCCATGGAGGTTTTGGAGTCAACAACCATCAAAACCAGTGTTTTCCCAAGTTTTATGAGCATTATCCACAGTAAGAAATATGTTATACCCAGGGATCTAGAACACACTCACATACACATCCATCTGAAGCCCGTATTTTGTGAAACAATATTTGGCCTTATTACGAGAAATGTGCTTTAATATTTTCTATTCTACTGCATTAAAAAAATTCTCTTCTACTTCATTTAAAAAATAAATTCAGCCTTAAAAAGGAAGGAGATTCTGATGCATGCTACAACATGAATGAACCTTGAAGACATTATACGAAGTGAAATAAGCCAGGCAGGAAAGGACAAATATTGTATGGTTCCACTTACATGAGGTACCTAGAGTGGTCAAATTCATAGAGACACAAAGTAGAACGGTGGTTGCCAGTAGTTGGAGGGGGCAGATTGAGGGGAATAGGGAGTTAGAATTTAATGGGTACAGAGTTGCAGTTTGGGAAGATGAAAAAGTTTTGGAAATAGAGAGTGGTGATAGTTGCACAACAAAGTGGATGTTCTTAATGCCACTGAACTGTATGCTTAAAAATGGTTAAGGG